AATCATCAGGATGATACGGTCACATTACAATAAAGCTCTGATTCTGGGTGGGTCAATGGCAGGAGAACAATAAGTAGCTGACCACAAAAGCGTCATCTGCCTGGCAGCACGCCGTGCGCTCTACTGAAACACTCAGTATAGCCGCTCTGTGTTTGTTAGGCTACATATTTGAGCTGTATGCACAAATGCAAATGTACCTATTATGTAGTGAAGTTTAAGTGCAAGTACAAAGACTGAAGCGAACACACTTACCGAGCATCCCATTCATAAAGCCGGGTGCTGCTTCACTTTTAGGCCCCCAGCAGGATGACAATGGGGGCGCGTTCATCAAACCAAAGGAGACGCAAACCGCGGATCAACTCTGGTAATCCAAATAACACTGTTAGACACAGAGGACTCTCTTTTTTTTCATAGAAATGTTACCGTTGCTGTCACCGCATCCTCAGAAGTGGTGCTGGTTCTCTGAAGCGCAATAACTCACTATGCCTCCTTCCTCAGTAGTAGTGCGCGTGAACACGCCCTCTTTGCGTTGCTCCTTAAAGACACAGGATGCCAGCATGGGGCCTCTCAGACAGGCTCGATCTAATTTCCTTCACTCTGAAAGGTGTGACACAGCATGAAAAAGAAACAAGGAAAATAAATCATTATAAAAACTTTAATACCATCACCTCATGCTGTTTCAGTGTTGTGTTTATACTCCTTCACTATTACAAATTGCTTGGCTGAGGATAAAGAGCTGATGAGTCATTGAGAGGGAAAATATGCATGAACACCAAACATTCCAAAGGAAATAAGAGAAAATAACATCCTTCTTGCAGTGCCCTATAGTACATTTTAATGTACTTACTGTAGGGGAGACATCTCACTAATTTTACACTGGGGATAGCATATAAAGTTAACAATGCAGGACTTTGTAACTGTGGATCTTTTATTGCAAAAACACAATTTAAGTTAACTTTAAGCACTATAAGCTTGCAAAAGGTAGGGCAATTAGGTGCAGTTTAAAATAGCTGTAATTTAAGTTGTGTCTTTCTGCTTTCCTGTCTATTAAAAAAACATTTTAGTCAAATTATTTAAACTTTTAGGAAAGATGTTCACAAATGTTCACTTATTTCTCACATGCTGTGATCACTGAAGTCCTTTCGGAGAGAGTGAACCATTTCTTTTGACCATGTGTATTCCAGGACGACCAGCTGCCCTCTGCCATGTGGCCGCTCATTAGTAGCCTACCTTTGCAATGGAAATGAGAGGGAAGCAGCCATGGCACACCCCAAGGCTGTGCATGCTCACCCTGAGCTCAAGAGAACGGAATGTGTGAATGGTTGATAATTATCAAAGGGCAAAAGTCAATCCTCCACTACCTGGATAGAATGACTATTAACTTTTGTCTTTTAAAGCCATTTCATAACGTACCCTTGCTATTCTTAAAAACTCTGTTCTCTCCATAATACAATGAGCTGCTGCATGGAGAATGTCTATCACACACATTTAAAAGTTATTTCCTGCCTTTGGCTATGTTCCCAGTATGGTCTGTCCCACCAGCTGATGTGAGAACAAGGCTCTTTATGATGAGGATTTGACTGCAGTGGCCTTTTGTCCAGGATCAAGCTGTGTTAAAATTTTATAAGCTACTTTTTTGACACACTGATGCCCCCTAAAGCAGTGGTGGGAGAAGTACTGAGATCTTCGACTTAGGTGGCAATACCACAATATAGAAATTCTCGGTTACACATAAGTCATGCGTTTAACATTTTACTCAAGTAAAAGTACAAACGTATTAGCATCAGACTTTGAGCTGCCTGAGTCAAATGGAGAGGATATGAGCACATCTATAGGCTGAAGTGGGTGAAGATTGTTTTTTCCTTTTCAAGTATCCACAAGGATGCTTGTTTGTTGTTCAGCTCACGCTCAGCCTGCCGATTTATAAAGGACAGCAGTGAGCGGGAGGAAGTCAACTGGCGCCATCAGGGGGGTACAACAGAGGAGAATTTGCTGGAAGCAATAACATAATCATTGGGATTTCACTTTAAAAAGTGGGAACTGCCAGTAAGTGGGGTGTACAATGGAGTTATGTGCACATTGTTACAAGATGAAGTGAGTGTGGGCGTTCGTGTTCATTTGCTATACTGCGCTTATATTGATTGTGCTTCACAATAGCTGCCAGCTAACGACACAGGTGTGCTGCTAGGGAATATTTATTTCTGTTTACATTCAATTTGTTTGACTATTTCCGCTTTGTTGGATAAAGTGAACTTCCGAGCTTAGTTACCTGCATCCAAAAGCACCAATGTGTTGGTAAGTAGTTGGTGCCATTAATTGGAATGAACCCACTCACCGCACAGAATTATGTGCAAGTCGAAGTGAGCATGCATGTTTGTGTTTATTTACACTACTGTGCTTGTAGGCTGCTTCACAGGACAAGCAGCAATTAACGACAAAGCTGTGCTCCTAGGGAAAAAGTATTAGCGGGTTACTTTTTTTGTCAGGGCACATTGTATTTCTGTCAGCCGTTCTTCAAGACTATGGAGCAAACTTAGCCTTGTGGTTTTCCGGAAAAGGTCTGGAATCACTTATGGGAACGATCCAATTATTTTCAACGGCTCTTTGGTACTAACAAAGAGAACTGAGCTGATCTTTTTGTTGTTAAGGCCCTTGACTGTATATAAAGATGGACGACATGACAGCTCCCCAAAAGTGAAGCCAAAAACTGTATTTAGTTACTTTCCAACACTGTCCGACAGTATTACTTTTACCACTCTACTAAAATGGCAGATATACCCTTAAAATAAATATTAAATGTGTGTGCTTACTGGATGTTTGTTGCTCTCTCGCTCTCTCTCTCTTTCTCCGTCTCTCTCTCCAAATCTGGTAATTGAAATCTAGTTAAGTCAGGAAATCAAATAACTCAATTCCAGACACTGCAATAACCCGGCAACTGTAAAACCTGAATTTACATGCAGCTGGTTTGTAATTAGATTAGTTCTCCTGGTCCTGATCCTGGTGTGCTGAGGGAACACACCAATTCCACGCATTCAGTGCTCAGTAAGTTGAAAATAGGTGAACTATCATTAGTTAAAAAAAATCAATATCTGTGGATGATTTACATTAAAGGCTAATATGGGAAATTATTTCTTCCTCACGCACTGATGTATGGGGGCTGCTCAGTCTGAGGCGCTGCTGGTGCAATACTAAAACATTCTCACATTGTTGCAGCTTTGTGTATTACATTGGCAGCTTTGACAGCGCTGTTCAGAGGATGTTTGTGCAGCGGTGTCTCAGTATTTGCCTTACAATGCGTTTGATGTTTTTGAATCTTTCATAAAGTCCATTCTCAGCTGTGGCATTTTGGACATTCAGGAACATTGTTAGCTGTCTGGCTTTCCCCCTGCTGGTTTCACCATCTGCTTACAATAATGCCCAGTTAGACGTTGAGTTTTTTTCAGGATTGTTCTTTGGGCCTCTCTAACCTACCGGAACTTTCAGTTAGAGATTTTGGCAACGGTTACAGTGTCAGCATGGCTGTCGTGATGCCAGTATATGAGATGAGGAGCTGTGTGATGTAAAGATTTCTATCCTCAGCAAGATCCTGCAATGGATCAGAGGACTGCTAAAATGCAACTGGCACATTGTCAATCTTTGTTATTTCATAGCGGATGTTGCAAAATAAGGCCAGGCCTCACCATTAACTAAATAAAGCTATAAACCTATATAACGTATAAACCTTTTAGTCATGTTGCTGCAGTTTGTGCATGACAATTTGGGTGGCAGTGGCCATTTACTATGTGTAAAGACAAATACAATGGCAAACATCTATACAGCCCTGAGTTGTTGAACAAGTACATGTAAATTGCAGCACTCTGCCTTGCAGAGGATAGTGGGAAAGCCTATTGTGGAACCTATTCTAGGGCTTCGCCCATGCTCACAAAACTAGGACTATGGTGCATAACCTTCCTTTCATTGAATTTCATTGACTGTCATGAAGAGGATATGTAACGCTCCTGTGTCTGCAAGTGAAATAACATAAACCAGAGGACACTATCCTGTTACGTCCAATTTCATACATTTACATTTAATACATTCAGATTTTGTCCTAATTTTGGAGTCATCAGTCAAAATGAGTTAGCTGTGTTGCAAATGTATTCTGACACACTCCAACAAGCGCGGTCAGAATTAGGACGCATTCTGTATAAGTCAGTCCCATGAGGAGATACCGAACTGAAAATATAAAAATGTAACAGATTTGTTGATGTGAAGCAGTGTCTGTGAGTCTGTGTGTGTGTTTGTGTGTCGGGTGGGGGCATACGAACAGAAGAAAACTCTGTTAAAATGTTACAAAGCAAGCGAGTTGGGCTATAAAGTACATGAGATGTGATATGATTGAATTCCAGACTTTGATAGGGAAAACCTTTAAGATTGCCCTCTATGATTCACATCATTGTAATGTAATTCAATAACCCAGAACTTACAATATTTGCATAATGATCAATTATCCATACATGATGATCCATCTACTTTAGCAAATTTCTGTCAGCCTGATTTTTAGTCTGTTAGAACTTTTGGGAAAATAAAGACTTTCCAACACCAACTATCTGTACCCTTGACATGACCCCCCCCCTTGCTTAAGATCAATGTTTTCCGGCCTGAAATAAGGAGATTACCCAGGCACACTCTCCCACCATCCCCCAGCTTTTCAGCATGCTTGCACCGGATCAGGTTCTTCTTCAAATTCTTCCCTGTAACTCATGCTCTTATGCATCTCAATTATGTCTCTGTTGTGGCTGAGAGAATCAGGTCATTTCTGCACTGTAGGAACAAGTGTCACCTACAATCACGTTGTCTTCCAGACCATACAAATAGGTCTACTTAGGACTGATTTGAGTTTCTGTTTCCTATTTGTTAATACTACTACTGTTTCAAAGCTTTAGCTCACTCTCTCTCATATGTCAGAAGTCACCCATCCTTATTCTAAAATTTTCAGATGAGGCATCAAGAAAAAGCCATTACAAAATAGAATAATTTATTTTAGGGAGCTACCATGAATAGGTCCATAATGTTTCCTTCATGATGCATACAGTGATGTTCACATTGGAAATTTGACAGATGATATTTTGGAACGACTGTCTAAGTTTATACACTACGGGTCCACCTCCAGCTCAGCAAGTCCCATTCAACCTTTAAAGTAAAGATTAAAGTAAAGATCCAGCATCCTTTAAAAAAAAATCTCATCATAATAATACGTATGAACTGTGAACATAAAAACACATTTTCAGTAATCACATCAATGCCATGTTACATTGTAACACACATAATCTCACAAGACAAGCATTGGTGCATTTCATGCATTATACCTGTGTCCTGTTGTTATCCATCAACCTTGTGAACAAACTGTGATTGTAAAATACATAACATAAACTTTACAATTTTTACTGTCAGCAAGTGACAAATTTTGTGTTGTCTGTTTCGCAGTGTCCACAAAACAATTTTTATTTTATTTTTGCATTTTTAAAAAGATGCAGAGATTTCAGTTTGGTCTCTGTTGTGAAAAAAATGTGACAGTTTTGATCTGGTCAACCATCTAGTAAACCTACTATGCAAACTCATCACATCTTTTATTAATTATGTCTTAGTAACCTGTTCAAAGACAGTAATTATTGTACTTTTCTGACAGCTATTAACAACATAATGTTGTGATGTGGTTGTGATGGGATGATATCATTTGAACCAAGAAGATTTGTGCTTTTGGTCCTTAGTCATATTCTGGGAATAACACAAAAGCAAACAGATGCACATTATGAAAGTTGTTTTAGCTTGTATATCTACTGGCATGAGTACCAGCACACAATCAACACATTCTCAAGACTACGTTAAAGGTGCCACAATGCTTTAATGTGATTCATAACATTGTCACTAGCGATGTTCTGAAAATGTTTAGCTTGAAGCTGATTGATATAAATATCTGGTAAACAATATGAGCCAAGTACATATAGCAAACACATAATGCAGGTCTAACAATTATTAGGCAGAGTGAGAAACTCACAGGCAGCTGAGGGCCACAGTGACCACCAGTGCCTCTCTCAAAGTCAGAGTCCAATTCTCACTATCAGTTTGTCCTTTGTCCAAACATCACATTATTCCATTAGAGTGGGTTTTTCCATTGTCCAGTCTCAGCAAGCCAAGTGGTCCATAATCTATATGGTGCTAAGGTGGTTGTTTTTCCACAAAGCTCTCATATTAAACAATAATACAGTGTTTTTAAAACAAGGTTTTCTTTTTTCGGAACCTCAGGTTCTATTCTCCCTTGTTTACATGGTTGTACCTTCAAATAATTTTACTTAAGCAATGCATAAAAACTGTCAAATGATTGTCTTTTCATAAAATACATATTACATGGATTAACCAATCATACGCGCTACACACAATCATACACACACACTCTTCACAGAGGAGAAAACGCTATTCAAGATGCCTGCAATGCTTAATATTGAGCAACAACTCTGTCAAGTAGACAGAAAAAAACAACAAAAGATCAAAATAAAGAAGAAGAAGAAGAAGAGCAAAATACAAATAAACCAACAACAACAAAATCAAAGACTCGTCCTCAGGGTCCTGTTGTTATTGGAAGGAGAGCTGTGTGTCAAACAAAAGAGGAGAAGCCAGCGGTAGGTGGCTGAGCGGCACAGCCCAGGCTGCTGGGGGGTCGGTAGAGGGTGCTGTGCTGGCTGGTGGGTTCGGAGGACAGCAGGGAGGGGGTGGGAGTCCGGCTTCCCTTAGACCTGAACAGAGTACCCTGGCCCTGACACTGGGGCTGTGGGGACGGGGCGCTCTGGGGGAGGAGCGGTGGCAAAGGGGGCACAGGTGGCGGGTGCTGCCGTGACTCCTGTTCCACCAGGGGCTCGGGCTGGGAGTATCCGTACGCCGGTGGACGAGAAACGCCCTTCTGCTGCCGTCGCCAGGAGTTGTAGTAGGTGGGGTCGCTGATGTAGTGGTTGACAAAAGAGTGGGTCTTCTGCCGGCTCTGATCCATCTCATATTCGCTGTCGCTGCCCTGTGAGTCAATCAGGAGAAAGAGTTAGATGACAATTTGACAGTGAAAAAACAGTCATTTGTTTAGGATGTCTGCTACGGATAATAATGACAACTATCTCTAATACAGCACTCTTACTGTCAAAACGCACAATACTGAGTCATAACACAGTAGCGTACATCTACTGAGAGAGAAGTGGAAATCTATTAATGTGCACTTCTATGGGGCAGATCATCATTTCTAGTGAGCATCTTTCACACAGAGGAGCTCACCCGTAGCCCCGTGGAGCGCACATGTGATAAGTGTACACAAGAGTGTCCTAGAATTGGACAGAGACAATGTTTACAGGATTAATTTGCTTTTGTTGTAATATAAAGCCGTCAGTCTTGTAAGTTACAAATGTGTGCGTGGGTGAATCCTGTCGCCGTTCCAACACGCTGAACAAAGCAAAAAAAAAAAAAGACAAAAAAAGAGATAGAGCAAATTACCCTCACAGACAACATACACATACACACATTAAACATTTGGCACATCTGTGTATCTGACAAGTGCCTGCCCATCTACTGATCTATTGAGACACTACGGCTTAGCAGATGTTGGAGCTCCATTTATTTGTACAAGTGGCAGGTAAACAGTGGGAGGCTATGCAGAGGAAAAGAATAACACCAGTTTGTGTAACTCAGGAGAGCAGTGTTTGTTCTAACCAGGTCGAACAATGTTTTGACTGTGCATTTCCAGATAAATTGGCCAGGGAGACCCGGCGCGAGTGTGGGAAGACAGATGTTCACGATCTGCTGCAATGGGCTTCTCTGCCTTTTTGCATTCATCATCCCTCATCACTTCTAACCTCCATGTATCGTCACTGGACCTTCCTATTTAAGACACACATACACACATGCACACACGCACACAGCCGTTCAGATCATCACATGAGGGGCTGAAACCCAGCAGCCCAGATTAACGCAACATTTCCTGTTTGAGGAATATTAATTAGTTGTGAAGACATTTCAAGACGCATGAGACATGAGAATCAGCCCCGTGCTTCCTTCCCATGGGAGAAATCAGTTTGAAAACTCAGATAAATGTCAGCCATGACTAACCTAACGCTAACAGAGGGAATTTAATTTTGTGGTGATCCACTTGAGGCAGATTGTCTTGCTGACTGTCATTAATTTATCCTCAGAAATTCTGCTTCATAATTAGACAGCTATCTAGTCTTGGCATCTAGAAAAATGGTGATTATGACAAAAAATAATGGAGGTTGTCAGTGAATGTGACAAAAGTGAAAGAAAGTGGAATAAGAGAAGTATTTTGAGTTTGGGAAGGCTATGACCTTGCCCTGGAGGACTTTTCAAACAGTTGAATTTTACTTTCTAATTTAAGTTCATTGCCTATTCCAGACATAGGGTGGACATGGGCTGCAAGCCAGGGTCACTGCTTACCTGTGAGTCAGATATCTCAGAGGGTTTCTCGGTCAGACTGCTGCTCTCTGCTGGGATCAGGTCGTTGTACTTAGTGCTGACATCCTCATCTGAGTAGTGCAGACTTCCAGGACTGGGTCTTGGTGGAGACCTGGGCAGACGGAGAAAAGGAGAGAGAAAGAGTGTCTGTGAGAGATATGAAGCAAAGGAAAGAAACAGAGAGAGAGCGCTAATGGTTATATAAGAAGAAAAAAAACATTTCATTTGATCATCATCATCACTCACAACAGATTTTCTTGAGCTCTCTGTTCATTGAGAACACATTTGAAAGCCTGCTCATTCCTGTGATTAACACCACTCAGATGACTAATGGAAGGCTGCAAAATAGTTCTAAAAATGAAGAAGCTTCACACCCCACAGGGAGTTCAGTGGGATCAACACACAAAGAGTAAGGAAGAGATTATAATTGGTCTTATTCTTTTGCAACTTCCTTCTGATCTTTGCAAAGTGTCAGTTAGGAGCTTAGGTAGGGGGTCATTTCTGCTTGACTTCAGCTGACCTTAACCGTCATGAGATGCACAAACAGCAGCTTGTATAAAAACATGAGCACCATGAAAGGATTCTTTGCGGTGATTAGAGCTGAATGACTGTACAGTTTGAGTCAGTCAGGGACTTAGACCTTCTGTAGAAAAGCTGTGTAACTAAGCATGGCCCTGAGCTCAGCAAAGAATTATAAAGTTCTTTTATGAGTGCAGGTCAAGTAAAAAGACCCCTAGCTTCTTTTTGGCTCCAGTCATCAAGTCCATAAAGTGAAGCAGAGAGAAACATCTGTGTGGACAATTATTTTTCTTCTTCTGCAGTAATGACTGCCGCTGTGTTCAAGGTCTGCTGAGATTTAATTGGATGCCAAAAGGGCCAAAATTGGACCACTACCCTCACGTCACTGAGCTACATCAGTGGGCTCAGTGTGTAACTCAGGCTAACACAGCATTAAGGGAAGAGTTTGCTCGGCTGGCTTCAGCAAAAGACTGAAGAATTATATAAACTAAGAATGGCATGAAAGTAAATGTTTAAGTGATCCGGAATGGAAAGCGTTGTGTGTGGGGGCAGAATAGACACGCATAAAACGCTGTGATGTCAAGTGTAATATTAAACCATAAAGCAGACAACCTTGAAGACCTCTCAAATAAAAATTAATATTTACTGAGATATATGTGGGAGCTAAATCACTGGGAATGTCAAAAACAGGAAGCTTAGAAGTCACAACATGACAACGGCCATGAAAGGGTTGACACAACAAAGGGACATCTCCTTTGGGTTAAAGGGGATGATGATGAGGGGGCGGACTGTGAACCCCCCCCCCTCCCCCCATCTACTTAGAATTCAGTCAAGGTTTAGTCAGACATTAAAAGGATGGGGCCACATGAGCATTAAGGGAGGAGCGACAGATCTTGCTACCGATCACACTCTAAAATGCTGCCAGTGAGTGTTGAATTATTTAGGAGTACTGTATTTCCCCCCTTGCCTTATCTGTCTAACTCATCCCTCTTTCCTTCACCCTTTCAAATATCCCACAGGGAGCCCTCCCACTCTTCCTCCTTAGTCCACAGATCATTAGCAAATATTATGGTACCAGATTGGAGCTCTTCAAAGAGAGGGAGCAACTGAAGACCCTTTGATCCAGTTCTTGGCCTCCTTGGTCAAGGAGAAAACAGCACAGATTCCTCCGTCCTTAATGCACCCCTTCTGACACATTACACCAAAACATTTTTTTTGCTGTGACGAGAAGCAGACTCTGAACTCCCCTCCCCCAACATAACCATGTGACCATCCAACCAGTCACAAAATGGGTGACCCCTGTCTCCACACAGGACATTCCCTTTGCTTCTCGTGCTGCAGTTTGTGAAACTCCTCTTATCTAATGTTTACCTAAACGTTACCAAAGAGCAAGCCTGCCAAACTCCTACTGACGGTCAGAAGGACATGTTCTCATTTCAATGGCGCTGTACTTTATGTTGAGATAGCTCTCACAGCACCACACTCAAGAGAAACTCTGGGCTGAAGGCCAAAAGAAAACGGCCGGCTCTGACCCATAAGCACCCTTTGTCTAAAGCGGTGATGGACAGACAAAGAGCACATGCAGAAGCTCATGAATGCTAATTAGCTGGTATTGTGCTGTCCCTTTCTATAAATTGTTGCTTCGCACAAACACTGAATATCAACAAGGGGAGCGGAAGGAGGCTCAAATCAGCAGCTGGGCTCCTCGAGGCTCGGCTTGTTCTCTCAAGACTGACAGACTATTGTGAGGGAAGCGGGGAACATGCAACACTACATTATTAATTCCTAGCGGTATCATGAGCAACACACTGAATTGTAAGAGGAAAGTCAGACAAGACTGAGCAAACATAATGTTAGAAAATGAGTGCAATGGTCAGCTGAACATCCCGGGTGATTGTTACTATATGACCAGTGGCAAGTTTCAGGTGATTGTGACTGACCGTGTATAGATGCCGTTCTTGCGGCAAAAGGAGTTTTTCACGGAGAGGCGTCTGTTGTTCAGCTCCAGGGATGGGAAGCGTCCCTCGTCCAGGCGCACCATCTCTCCGTGGGTCAGTGGCAGAGCTGTGCAGTTGGAGTGGTTGCCTGGACAGGGGTATGAGGATGACACTGTGTGGGTTGTGGAGTGAAATAAGTGATTTGTGATCTTCAGTCGAATCAATTTCAGCCTTAGGGATTGGAACACAACACAATCAAACAGGCTTGAACTTGCACATAGTCCTCTTGAATTTATCTAAACAAAAAATAAATTATATACAGCTATTTCAATGATCACATCCTCAATTTTAAAGTGAATTAAGTACTGCTTTTTGACTACATTGGTAGTATATCATCAGTCAGTCAGTCAGTCAGTCAGTCAGTCCCACTGTCCACTCCTGGCCTCTAGTAAAACAAACAGCCGCTGTAGGACCCACCAGCCTTATGGGTGAGAAAATTGGGGAGGGATTGAGAGGGGCTAAGAAGCCCTCTTTGTGTCCCCACACAAACACAGTCCTTGTCTGAACTGGTCGGCCCCCCCCCCCCTTACTGACCCTGGTCACCATGCTAAATACTGACTAAGCTAAAAAGTCACTAGCACGAGACTTTAGGAAGGCTTGACCTGACCCTTCACTTCTCCCCCCAAATCTCCCTCCTTCCCGTCTGACCACTCTGTCCATCCACAATACTAGCTACTCCATTCTACAGGGTGACTAGACCATGTCTCAAAAATTAGCCCCAGGTGCCCTCACTGTGTTTACTTGCCAACCTTAATTTGAAGTATTAACAATAAAGTCTACTAACATTGATTACCTTTCCCTACCTTATGTTTTTGGGTTAGAAGATAGAAGGTTTCTAGGAGCAGCAGTGTCACCTGGGATAATTCACAATGTTGAAAATTGGCTTCTTGATACAGTGGTGTGAGAGCCACTAGTGCTGTAGTTATATAATTACTCTCAGTCTGACTAATGACCTGAGCATTAAACCACTGCCAAGCCATTTATCTCAGTATTGATCCTCACTATAGGAACAATATGTTTATTCACCTGCCTATTCCAGTAACCTTTACTCTCATCTTTCCCCTGTCAGCCAAACAATGTTATGGAAATCTAGGTAATTTGTCTAATTGTGTGAGCCTTCACACTCCCTTTTTTCTAGTGTTGACTTCGGATGTACAATCATTAAAATGCAATTCTCAGCAGAGCTGTCCAAGAGGAAGACAAATTCCAGTCAATAGCTTAAGTTGCAGCAACAGACGGCGAAACTGAGATATTGGTGGCGTGTTTAGCTGACAGTTGGGTTTCCTACCTGAATCTGCTTTTTTGGTGTATTTTTTACTCTGGCCTCGGATGATGAGGATGAAAACAAGGAGGAGGATGAAGATGAGGCCCACCAGAGCGATAACAACCAGGAACCACCACTCCTCGTAGAACGGAGACACTTTCTGGGCTGAACACATAACAAATAATAGACATTAATAAACAAAAAACAAAACAAGTCTTGTTTTGTTATCACACTGTGGTATTATTTTTCAGTTTAAAGTACCTGATATAGAGGGGGAGGGGGCACTGGGTGACCCATAGCCATAGTCGTTGACTGCAATTACTCGAAAGTCATAGGTGACCCCTTCTCGTAGCATGTCCAGGTTAAGTGTGTAGGATGTCACTTCTTTAGGAATGTCTTTGATAAGGATATCCCACAATCCTTCATCTAAAGGTAAGATACAAAAATATATGAATATATTAACAATAAAATTTTTTGTCATCAGGTAGGAAACACTAGTTGAGGTACTGGGAAAAAATGTTTATGCATGAGGCTCACCAGAGGGTCTTGCCTCGATGACGTATCGTGTGATGGGTGCACGGCCTTGATCACCACTGGTCCAATGCAGTGTGAGGGCAGGGCCATACCGAGAAATAAAGGGTTCTCCAGGAGGGCCTGGGGCTCCTTGGGAAGACAAAAAATGTTGTTTATCAGAATCAGTTTTATTGCCAGGTATGTGTACACATACAAGGAATTTGACTCAGGATTGTACATTGCTCACGATGTACTTACTTATACAATAATAAAATATAATATATAATAATAAAATAAAATCAGACACAAACTACAGAATAGACAACACTAATATACGCACTATGAACAAAACAATATAGACATATTGACAAATAGTGCAGTGATCAGAGTGCATAAGGCCTCCTATGATTGAAGGAGGCACTCTAAAAGCCTATATTATTGACATGAACATCATAAAAAAGCAGTAATACATCACATATTTAGAGAGTCCCACCTTCTCCAGGCCCAGTAGTGATATTGGCCTCCACCTCTGGGCCATATGTGAGTGTTTTGGCTCGGATGCGGAAGTTATAGGTGACGCCATCAACCAGGTCTTTGATCTTCAGCCACAGGGGAGCGCTGCCCTTCACATCTACTGTCACTATCTTACTGACACCTGGAGTGCGAGGAGAGGAGTCTGTACAGAAAACACTAAGACTCTAGAAGCTGCTTTTCTACAAGCGACAAATAGCCAAGCTTTGTCCATATGATCAGACACATGGAGTCACACAGACAAAGAGTTAGAACATCTAGACATACTATCAGAGACATCTTTGCATATAAATATAGATATATAGGTATCCAGATAGTAGGAGACACCAGGACCTTTTTATACAGCAACTGGTATTCCCTGTCTTAACTGCTCTGTTTGGCTTTGCTCTGGGTCCATTAGTGGATAGCAGAGGGACCACAGCAGCCTCAGATCAGCATTCCACCACTGCTCCCAATTACTTGACAATCTGGTCCAGGCAACCCACACTTAGCCAGCTATTAGCCATGTTTCTCTCAGTAAGAGATGTAGCTGTGCAAAGTCTCACCAGAGCATTCCAACACATTTTTATCAGCCATGCCGTATATGTTTCTGCAGGGCCTACACTCATCTGTAACAGATTAGAACATGAGCTTAAGCAGCGTGAGTTAAAAAGAATACGGTAACTAGGCAAGAGGTTGTAAATCACTGTCTGAGAAAGCCAGCTGAGGAATGTCAAGACAGGGCAGAGTTATTAGGCTTCAGGAGTTTCTCACCATCGACCGGAGTGCAGGGCTCATAAACCAGGCGGTAGCCCTCAATGATGCCGTTGGCCTGCTTGGGCTCTCCCCAGGACACATTGACCGAAGTGGTGGTCAACTCACTGAAGTGGATGAAGTTGGGAGCACTCGGCGCTATTGGTGAAGAATGAGGTGATGAGGTGGTGAGACAAAACACTACATGCACTGCATGCTCAGCTGCAAAACTACAATGCAGTGACGTGGAAATGCCATCTTGGAGTATATATATTTATGAAAACCTTTGAAATTGTTAGAATTCTGTAATAATGGCACAAACTGGAAAATAACTAAATAAATTCATTATGTATTCATAATACTATCCAACAAGCAATTTGAAGCTCAGGAAAATTCATTCATTCTTGTGGTTTTCATAAGTCGCAATAGTAATTTCGCACATTTTCAGCTAAGACAGACTTTTAAAACAATTGGGTAAATCACACGGGCAACTCAAACAGCACTGGACTAGTATGACTCCAAAGGCAATATGATGTATTCATACAAGTAAAAAATATCATGTTACTCTAGGTGGCATGAAACAGAAATACCAGGTAATTTAAACATGAAAGTGGTTTCATTGTTCTTTAACAGGGCATGAACAATAAAATGCCTTGTGTGTGTAAAAACAGGTACTGTGGTGTGTGGACTGTTTAAGCACATGACTCACTAAAAAAATTTACTCAACGTTGACATGATTGTGCAAAGTCATTCTGTGACCTTGAACAAGAGCTGTGAGAATGCTGTCTGCTGACCCAAGCCAGATCCAGCTAAGTGTCAGGATTTCACCACATTTCTGCATAAAATTCACAAAAGCTTGTGTTGGCTCACTTCCCAGTGCCCTCTGGTGCAGAGAGCCAAAATTCCTGCCTGTGTTTTTAAGTTCTCAGCACTTTGTATCCATGGCCAATGTCACAGCCTTCAAGGGGGCGGATAAGACAAGAGAAATGTATACTGCAAACCATTTTGTGCTGAGACCGCAGAGGAGGGACTCGTGCTAGCTAGTAAACACAGACGTCTTTGTTGGGGCCAAAAAAACTAATCTACATGTGTCCCCCGCACTCTGTATTCATTGCTCCTCCGCTGTCATTAGGCTTCCACCCCCATGGCTTGTCCTGGAGGAGGTGCCAAGAAGACTCTGATCTCTTATGCTCTATCTCACAGGATGAAATTAAACTCTTAAGCAAAAAAAGAATTCTATTTCTTGGTGAACAGGAGGATCGGGTATTACATTATTTGTCTTAAAGCTGCAGTGCTTCAGTTCTACTTTGCAGTTTTGTGTAACACAGTGACTTAAGATGAAATCACTCATCATCTATTCTTTTGTAGGTATCTTTTGTGACTGAACAGACAACTAACCTTGAGGTACTACTTTACACAAGCACCTGAGAACAATAAACAATATGGTTATTAGTTTCACTGTACAAATGACAAAGGGGGACTGATAGAGGCATACAGAACCTAAGAGTGTGAAATGCTATATGGTGTTGGCAGAAGCTGCAAGATAAATGTCACTGATCTTTTGAAGATCTCCACAAACACATCTGGATTTACTGTAACTCACCTGCTTGCTGAGTGCGCCCTCTGGTGGGCAGGGAGCGGGGTCCATCCCCTGCAGCATTGAAGGCCGCCACACTGATCATGTAGGTGGTGTAGCCTGTCAGGTTTTTAAGTTTCACCCCGAGCTCCGGCAGGAACAGAGTACGCAGGCGCTCTGTCTCATTCTGGAGCTGAAACTCCCAGAAATATATCTATAAACAGAATAAAACAGTTCAGAGTGCAGAATTCATGTTCATTCATGTTTTTCAATGAACGTATAAAAATAAGAAAGGCATGATGTAAGTTTGGCTGGTTTGTAGCAACACAGAACACATTATTGATACCTTGTAACCCTGTATGTCCCCATTCTGAGCATCCAGAGGAGGAGGGTCCCATGTGACATCCAGCTGTGTGGCTGTTGAGGACTGGACCACCACATTCTGGGGAGGGGATGTTGGGACTAGGAATGGGCAGAGTGTTAATATGTTGCATATGAATTGCTTAACATTTAAGATATAAAGATTAAACTTAAGTAGACTAACACATATGCTGCACAGTGAGAGAGGAAACATACCCGCCTCTCCAACAAACACTTCGTGTGGCGCACTGCTGGGACCCTCCCCCACAGCGTTATACACACTGAGACGGATCTCGTAGCGTTTGTGTTTACTCAAATCTGCAAGGGGGAACCCATAGCAGCATTATAATAGAACAGTTAAAATAAAAGAGCAAAAATAAGTTACTCCAGAGAGACATACAGTCATAGCGATGCCTGTGGCAAGACATCACAAATTGAACAAGGCAAACTGGTGAAAAGATGGGGTTGTTGTGGGGACACGAGAAGATCTCAGTGATAAAAAAGAAAGAAAAAACACGGAAATAATGACAGGCCAACTTGGAGTTAAAGTCATATACACAGCATAAGCTGCAGTCCCTCAGCGGATACAGCCTAGTGGGAGGATGGTGTAACATACACTTGCTGCAAACTATCATACAAACGGCATATTTTGTGCAAGTAAAATTAAACAAATGACATGCAAACAGATGGAGAGTGATGGAAGAGAGGCATAAAGGGTGATATAACACTTACTCTCCAGTTCATATTGGGTGAGCGAGGATTCACTCAAGTTCCTGATGCTGTAAGGAGCTGCAGTTTGGATAGAGGATGGGCGGGATTAGGGAGAACGAGGGTAGTTCACAGGATTGAGAAAGAGTGGCAATCAAGTGTCTATTTTGCAAAACACTGTAGGCCTTACTGAAAGCATCAGAGCAATATGTGGATGTAAAAATAAGTACATTTAAGAGTCCAGCTAGCACCACTGTCTGCATATAACCAGAAGTAGCTGATGAATAAGCAGTGAAAAAGTAAACTCACCAGTGAGATCAGCCCAGTTGGCAGAAGGACTGTTAACTGTGCGGATAGTGAAGCTGCGTAGACGGTCATAGTGTAACTCCCGGTACCTGACTCTGAACCCCAACAGGACTCCATTTATGTGATCCTCAGAGGGCGGCTACAAAGAGATGAGGTCTGCTTAATTCCCAATACTGAACAGACAAACTCCCCCCAAAAAACAAATGCCACTTTCACTATTTATTCTTCCATTCACAAAACACACTGCACAGTTTTTCAACAGCGTACCTGCCAACGGACCAGTACGGACGTGGTGGTGTGAGGTGTAACAGACAGAATTGTCGGAGCTTTGTCTGGGGCTAGAGAAGATGAGAATATTTTTTTTGTGTTAGCAACCCAACACAGCTCAGGAGAGTAATATATTATTCAAACAGTCTGGTAGGGAACCGCTTGAGAATAAATACATGTGCTGTTGACGTAAAGTATTCACTTCGAAAAGTCAAAACATTGCTGTAAAGGCAAACAATCACAAAAGTGTTCTTGAACAACTATAATGAGTCTTCTGCATGGTGACGTTTGGCCCATGTCTAATTACTGCAGTCACAAGTTCTTACCGTCCTGTAGCGTAGTGATGGCCTCACTCTCCTGGCTGTATTCACTGTCACCAATGTCATTGGTGGCTTTTACACGGAACTGGTAAGAGGTGAAAGGCTTTAACCTTTAAAGAGAGAAAAAAAGTGCAATGTCTATGGCATGTACATCATGTTCTGCCCTACTCACTTCTATTTTCTGACTGCATGAATAATAAAAAAGTGCTGATGCATAGGGGAATAAAATTTTCACATTTACCTATCCACTATGTAGGAGTGTGTCTCGTGGCTGACTGATGCAGAGTGGACAGTCCAGTTGCTGTCAGGCAGCTCTCTGTACTGGACTGTATAGTAACGAACTGGGGAGAGGCCGTCACTGCCTGGTTCCCATGACAACAGCACTCTGCGAGCGTGGACTTCCTCTTGAGGCACTATGGGTCGGCTCGTGGGTTGTGGTCGGGCTGAAGAGTACACACACACAAACTCAGTCACTCTCAAACTTCATATTTAGAGGTGAATGATTTAGATAATAGATTTCAGCTGCCGTATTTTACACTTACCTCTCTTTTCTGTTGTGACCACCAATGCCTCAGCAGCCTCCCCCCAACCCTTTCGTGTCTGAGCAGTGAGGCGGAATACATAAACCATTTCTGGTTTCAGTCCAGACGCTGTGTACTGTCGCGCGCTGGGACTCAGCACGTCTACGGTGGCGGCGTTGCTGTTTGAAGAGTTTCTTCTGTATGTGATCTGATAGGCTAAGGAGACAAACCCATACCAATATAAAATGATGCATAAAAAAGGAAGAGGAAAGAGAACAATTCAGCTGCACTACAAAATCAAACAATAGTAGACGGAGATGAAAGTCACAGATGAAAGTCTGTGTATCGAAAACCCACCCAAGATAATGCCATTGGGCTGCGCAGGAGGTTGCCAAATCAGCCTGACTGAGGTGGTCCTGACTTCTGGGAAGAGGATGCCGACTGGAGGGCCTGGTACTATCACACATAAAATTTGCAGAATGACAGATCAGGCAAGAGTGTTATACGTGGCATACATTTAGTGATCAAAACTGGATCAAGGAAATATATTCATTTTAAAATGCAGAGCCACAATTCAGTTATTATCAAATTGTTATCAAGACATGATTTAAAAAAACTCTCTTTAACATATTTCTTCAAACAAGGAGTAATAAGAACATAAAGAACAGTTCAGTCATTTAAAAAACAACCTCAAGCAAGAAAATGCTTGATACAAACTGATTAGCGACAAGTTACATAATCTCAACACAGTAAAAAGATTTTTTTAAATTTGTTAAGAGAAAAATACAATTTCAAAGATAACAACAGGATTTAACAGGTTGGTAAGATGGATATGTTTACCATCATCCAGGGTCCTCTCTAAAATGGATGGTGAGCTGCTCCTTCCATCTCCTATACGTGTGAAGGCTAGGACCTGGATCTCATACAGGACATACTTGCCCAGACCACTCAGCTGGACACTGTGGCTGGTGTTGCCCTCCACTGTCCAAAAGTTTGGAGCTGTGTCTGAGTCCTTCTCCTTATACACAACCTGAAATACACGGGGAATCTTATACAGTTAGATGACTTTGGAAGTGAGGAGTAAAAAAGTAAACACAGAAAGATGTTTTCATACTTTCAAAGTAATTTTATCGATGCTCAATCTGCTAAATACTGATCTTAATTACATTTCATTGTTATACAGAAATAGAGAAAATTCTCTGCACACCTTGTACCCCAGGATGAGTCCATTGCGGTCAGTCTCTGGGACTTCCCCCCACCGCACCAGGATGCTGCTTGAGGTGGTGGCGAAAGCTGACACGTTGGTGGGACCACTGGAGGGCACTACAATAAGAGGTAAAGGACAGAGCTTAGCACACTTCAAGCACACCTGCATGATGAAGTGTGTGGTTGGAATGTGTATGCATATATTTCCTTTCTCACCCGACTCCCTGGTCCTGCCGTGGACTGGCTGGCTCCAGGGCCCAGAGCCAATGCCATTGATGGCCTGAACTCTGACCTCATACTCTGTCCACTCCTCCAGGTCCTCAATTGTGAACTCCCTCTCCAGCCGGTCCATGATGACATGGGAGAGAACTCCCCCTTTAGACCCGGCTTTAGAGTACTGGACCCGGTAGCCAACGAGATCTGGATTCCCATTGTATTCCCACTCTGGAAGAGGCTAAGAGGATTTTTTTCGGTTTTTATTCCCCCAATTCAACCAAGATCTATATAAATGACATCATAACTAAGTGCATAATGAAGCAATAAGCCATGAGAGGCAGTACTTTACAGTGATTTTACAACAGCTAAGAGGTGTTGTCAGGAACGATGAGATGCAATATGGGAGGAGAGGCTAAACCCTCTCAGCACTTCACTGTATTGAGAGGTTTTAATAAAATGTGTTAATAATCCATTGTTTGAAAATAAAAGCACATTCACTGAATCAGTTAAATCAATTATAACTTAATCCTAATATATTAATACTTTTATTTTAATAGGTAATATTATAATATAATAATAGTAATGTAGTAGGGAAAGGCAACTAAAGCCATGGCTGCAATACTGGTTTGAGTACATTAATGCTACAATTAACTTTTATGCAAAAGTGTGTTTTGGGGGTGCTTGCAATCACTGTAAAAGGCATTCAGTCAGTAGGAATCTCTATGCAGTATATCTTACACTGACTCATGCATAATTGTGCATGCTAAGTGAGCAAAATTTGTGCTGGGCTTATTTCTATGAAAGTGCCAGGAAATGGACCACAAAATTTTTATTACAGTTCAACACCCAGCTTTTGAAAAGGCCCACAATCATTCAGCTATGTCATTAACTTGTAGAGCCATATCACATAGCTGACACCCCTCGGCTGTTAAATCCAGGTAACATGCACTCTTTATAATCCTGCAGGAGCTGCAGGAGTATCTTGCATCTGTGTCTCTCGCTGCCTGGCACTGCTCAGGCACTGGCACAGCAATGATAATGGACAGATGTAGCGAAGAATAGATTAGCCAAACGCTGACGCAGGAACCAGCAATAATCAAGGACAGTGCATGCAGCTTTCCAAAACCCTATCAGTGCCATCACCTGCATTCATCAAATAACAGCCCCAAGAGCACAAGGACAGATTTACAGAAAAAGGAAAAGGCAACATTTCACGAACAAAAGAGCACAATATAATGAAGACATAATATAGTGTGCTAAAGTCTAAGGTTCTGAATTAAGGTTTCGTGACAAAATGTATCCTTGTGAGACAATTAAGTTGAAGGCAACTGTCATGGAGAAAGTCATAATTTACTGTCAAACCTTTTAATATATGAACATTTCGATTTTTGTGTTTTTATATGCAAAATTAAATCGCCCAAATCTGATTTTATAAAGCTTATCTTATAAATGTTGTATCCACTTAATATCCCATGGGCATTTTGCCAGTTCAGTCCCAACAGGATTTTACACCATACCAATGAGAAGGAACAAAAAGAAAACACATAGCAATTTCAAGTAGCTTGTTTGCATGCAAAGGCATACTTAAATCTACAGCACAAATTTCATCAGTCCAAGTCTGAATAGGAATGTATCTTATTATAAAATCATAGTGGCAATGAGTCATGGCAACTTACCACCCAGCGAAGCCACAGGCTCGTCTCACTGGCTGTGCGTAGGGTGACATTGGCGGGGGAGATGTCTGGAGGGGCCTGCAGGGTCTCGATCTTCCTGGAGGGCTGACTGGGTGGACTGGTGCCCACAATGTTTACCTGACGCATTCTGAATCTGTGGTAAAGGAAACCAGCTGATGGTGGATAAATCATATAACGGTGGGTGTTTAATCATAATGATATGGAAAGGGATTGGATTACATTAGATTAGATTAGATGAAACTTTAATAATGCCCGAAAGGAAATGTTGTCATTGTAGTAGTATAATGTAAAATAGGATCTATTTATGAGTAAAGAACCAAAGATTGATTAATAGAGACAAAGGGTAATAAATTACAAATGTTTAGATTAGCAGACTTTTCACTTTGCAACGTTTCATATGTGTGTGTGTGTGTGTGTGTGTGTGTGAGACAGTGTGTGCTCACCTGTAGAAAGTATAGGGGTTCAGGTCCAGGACCTCCAGTGATCTAGCATCAGGTTCATTAGCCAGCTGATGAACCATCAGCCACTCTTCATTCTCTCCTATTATACCAATCTGAAATGCACAGAGAGAACGGGGTGATATCAGCAGCTAAACAAATTGATGATTGAACAAATTGATCGACAAATTAACTGGTATTGTAAAACACGCGCACCAATACTAAGTCATCAAACAACTGTTCTCATTATGTTGAAATGGAAATGAAGCGTATTACCTGGGCTTCAACTTGCCAACGGGATATGGATGTCTTGCCATCATAACCAGGTTTGAACTGCAGCGTGACAGAGCGAGGGCCGATGTTGGAGATGGCTAAATTGGTCGGAGGACCGGGCAACTCTGCGGAAGAGGATGAAGGAAAGACAGGTTAAAATAACATTCCAGCTATCACTGCTTTTAGAAATAGCTGAGTGGAAATCAGCTGAGTCCCAGAAAGCAGAATGACTGTTTTAAAATCTTTTAGCCCTTACTAAGTACTTATGAAAGTCAAATAGTTCATCTTCTGATTTCAACACTGACCTGGGGGTACACCAGAGGAAATAGTGGAGGCTGAGAGCTGGCCCTGGCCCTTGGAGGTCATGGCTGCTACCTGGATGGTGTAAGTGGTGAGGGCAGTGAGCCCAGTCACCTTGTACTCCTGCGTTAGGTTGGGCAAATAATGGGTCACTCGAGTATTGGTCCTGTTGAACTCCTCCCAGGAGATACGATAGCCTGGAAGAATTGGCAAAATTTAAGTAGTAGTAGGTAGGTAGGTGTCCACAGTAAACACAGCTCGGTGACTTGATAAATTGAGAGAAGCAGAGTTATATCGTTATCTTTAATGGTTACCGGTGAGAACACCGTTTTTCTCTTGAGGCTCCTTCCAGCTGACTTTTAGCGAGGTGTCCAAGATGTCAGTGAAGCTAAGGTGGCCCACAGCACCAGGGGCTATAAAGAATAATAAAAAAGTGGCAATAAACGAACAGAGCAACAGCCTGACAAGTAATTATTTTACAAATGCTATAATATACTGAATGGGAATACTTACTGTCCTCATGGGTGCGTAACCGCTGTGGTGGACTGCGTGGGCCGTCTCCGGGGGTGGTGAAGCACAATACCGATGTGTAGTATTCTGTGAACCTTTTCAGGCCAGAGATGTAACCAACATGAACGCTGTCCTGGAAGTTGGGACGCACCGTAACCACAGCGACCTCGTTTGAACGACTGGGTTCCCACGCCAACAGCTGGAAATCATGTGATAAGGGACAGGAAGTTAATGTGTACAAAACTGGTAGCGTCAAGATTCACGTACGTTTTAATAAAAAGTAAAGAAAAACTGTTCACATCTGTTTAGTTTATGATTCACTGACACTTCTGACTGAGTGCCCTTCTATCTCTGAACACTAGAGCGCACTAGTTGACAGAAAGGGGCTGCTCACCTTATATCCCTGGTTGATTCCATTGATAAACTGAGGGCTCGGGGCACTCCAGGTAAAACGCACCGTGGTGGAGTTGACAGCCTCGGCTTGTACATTTCCTGGTGGCACAGTGGGCACTGATCCAGAGGATGGAGAAAAAACAGGGAGAAGGAGAGACAGAGTAAGAGGGAGAGAGGGGGAGGGACAGGCAGAGGGAGGGAGAAAAAGAGAGAATAGTGATGAGATAGGAAGGGAAAAAACTTGAAACAGGCGCTTTCAGGCCAGCCTTGTTTAGAGCGTGAGAATCAGGATGAAGATTCTTTTTTTTTATTTTGGCTCATTTGGGGAGGTAAGAACATGCCAATCAAACTGGGTGTGAGAGCTGTTGCCTCAGGCGGCTTCCAGGTGAACCCTGCAGCGGTTTGTTTGAAGTGAGCATGCGATTGTGATGTAACACCGGAAAAAGGTCAGGGACTCGCACATTAATGAAGCTGAATGGCCAGTATTGGTTCTCGTCTCCTATCCTCAGTTCTCTTTGAATGTATTTAAATGCACATCATGATCTGCTCTTGCGCGTTTAATGGAGTGAATGACGGAAACATCCAATTAATGAGAGCTGAGTTAAACAACATGAATGCCTTGTTCGTTGTTGTTATTCCCCGACAGTAACTTGGTTGATGAAATTATTATTTATTTTTTGCAAGGGAAGTGACACGGAAATAAAATGGTGATGTTTGCCATAACTCCAAGGTTTCACATTTTTGTTAATTAAACACAACGATCTTGAGCTTCTTTGCAAATGCAGTACATTTGTTTATTTGCAGAGGCACCAGACTCTTATTTGGACCCGCTTATTAATTTATCGACTGATCAAACATCACATGTATGCTGAAGTTTCCAAGGTTTTAATGATAATGTGTGCCAGGTAGAATCCGTCAATTTCAAGTATTTTATAATCATCTAGCCAAAAGAAACTGACAGCAGCAAAAGCCATCTTTTATGCACCCAAACACACACACCTGCTCAGTGCTCATAATATCAATGAGCTACGGAGGAATGTAAAGATGAAACAGTGAGAAAAGACCAGAGAAAGCAGATCAGGAGTAATGACTGTCATTAAAGTTTACGTGGAGTACAATTATAATAACAACTCGGACAGCGAGCAAGTTTGTGAGTGCGGGGCTCAGATCCACTGCATGAAACTAACACCCTGGTTAAGGAACGTCAGTTTTTTGTCTCTGTATAGTATTTTAGACAGAAAGCCAAATAAATTAACTTAAACTTAAACCCAGTGTAACCAACTGATATACAACACCTGTAAAATCTAATGAAATCAAAATATCTGCTGATTCACCCTCTCTAATAACTGTATTTGAGGAACAGGGACTGGAACAGAATAGGAAATGGAAACCCTTCCAATTTTCTCTTGAGAATATTTAGTGAGTCTGGTGTAGAGGATCTCTGTTCATGGAGTGGATTTAACATGACAGGGATTCAGAGATATGTGAGTGTGTTAAGCCTTTCAAAGCTTTATATACAAGTTAAAGGAATTTAAAATCAAACTGGAAGCCAGTGCAGCATATCTAAAACCAGGAGCGATTTCCTTTTTCTTGTGTTTGTTAAAGTCTAGCAGCAGTGGCAGTGAACTAAACGGTAATCTAAAAACATACTTTTTAGGAAGCCAGAAAAAGACCATTATTCAGTCTTCTTGTAATAAAAGCGTGGATTCATATTTTAACATGCTGATGCATTAGCTATAGCCTATGATTCTTGACAAAAATTCAGCATGTTAATGCACGATTTATGGTTGAGTCACATTGTAAAATCACACTTTGGCTTTATACCTCAGTTTGTTCTGAAATACCAGATTGTGTATTCAATTTAGATTTGGTACCAACAATAATCGTAGATTTGACTTGGTTTAATTTCACAGTAACAAAAGTGACTTTCATCCTCTGAAGATTTTGAATAGACAGGTAGGCAAGGAACATAAGGTGTCGGAATCACTGGCTGTGACGGAAATATGTAGCTGTATGACACCGGGGAAAGTTCACAATGTGTGCTCTAATTATACTACTCTTGTACAATGAGAAAAGAAGTCAACCGAGGCAGCTTGCTTTTGCAACACTGAAAGGTATGTCAGATGTCTTACGCACATCATCAGCTGGAAATTTATGTGCAGAAACAATTAAATATGTGCTGAGATAGAGGCCGACTGACGTCTCCAGGTGGTCAATATGAACATTTTACTTTCTGTGAAATAAAACAACGCTCAATAACAGAATTCAGAGGACAAAAACAGTAAACGCAACCATAGGTGATAGAATAAAAATCAACAAAAGAAGGTGGTTTGGATTATGAAGCTGTTGGCTCATGTCTGCACACAATTTGTTGTACAGTACTGCAGCACTTTAACCAGAAATTAAATGAACTAGATAAAACCTGACAAAAACAAATACACAATGCTGAGAGGCAAAAAGCACTTAGCCGTTTTCTTGTACGTCTTTTACATTCCTTTAAAAGCCTTGCTCCTGCTGACTTCTGATCGAGACAGGTGTAAGTAGTCTTCAGAACAACAATGCGGGAATAACCTTTTCGAGGTTAGGAAAGGATTTTTAAAATCATTCTGCAGAGAAAGCCTGGCTCTAAAACTCTTTTTATCTGATTGTTAAAAACAGATGATTGGATTAACTATCAGTCAGGTTTTATGCCACAGGCTTAACATTATCCAAGGGACTAACACGATGAGGCCGGAGGTAATTAATGGAATTTGTAGAACCAAATACAGCCATCTCGTACTTAAAGCATCTAAGCTGCAGGAAAAATGTTGAAATTCATAAACTGACTTAACTTGGCTGCTTGGAATGCTTGTAGGCTTTCTTGGGAATATACAGTATATATGATACAAAGCCTTTGTGTAGCCCTTACCTCCTTGCAGTGTCCATTCAGTGACTTTGTGGCTGTAGGTGCCCCTTCCTGCTCCATTATAGGCTGCTACCTCGATCTCATAGTTGGTCCAGATGATGAGGTCCTCCAGGAGCAGACTGTTCTGGTCTGGGTTGGTAATGTTTTTCATCTGACAATCCACTGGAAGCCCTGACAGACAGTACCTGGTAGCAGAGGGAGTAATCGATAGAGAGGGGGAGAGACAGACCAGACAGAGACCACACAGACAGACATGAATATAAATATATTAGAACAGGTTCTCAGAAAAAATAGAGAGGAAGGGAGGACTGTAATGGAAGAGAAGCCATGCAGAACAGTTTTAAAATGGTTACAAAAAGAGAGGTGACAACAGATGAATGGAGAGGAAGGTATTTAATTGACACCAATTATTCTACTGCAGCAGTGAGCGAGAACGAAGCGAAATGGAGAGGAAGAAAAGGAGCTGACATAACAGTTATTATCACTTCTGAATGGCATTGGCCCTTGACAGGCACCTATCCTTGGGAAGAAATTAGGCAGGTTGTCATGGTCTTCTTACCTGATGATGTAGCCCTGGAGGGGACCATTCTGATGGCTCTCCGGGGGTGGCTGCCATTGGATCATGATGGACTGATTGGTGCGGCCACTTGCGATGACTGTCTGAGGGGGGGCGCTGGGAGGCTCTTCAGGGAGAGTTAGTCTGCGGCAGCAAGGGAAGAAAAGGAGAAAGGATAGAAGAGACAAAGGGTGAAACTATGCTTTCATTATCGGGTGTTTCTGCATATTTCTATCCCATTTCATCATCAACATCAAATCATAATAGAGCCCACTTTTTGTATTTTTCTGAACACCATAAAGGAAAGTTGGGATAAGTGTGGCTGTGTCTTTATCCAAAAAATATTCTCTATAATACTGTCCGCAGAGGGACATCTTGCTGTGGCATGACAAGGATAAAACAGGCCTTGGTAAAAATGGAGCAGCACAATAGAGAGCCAGCATGAGCGAGAGAAAGATATAAAAGAACAAGAAAGAGAGATCCAGACAGACTTTTCCCTTAAGTCAATTTAAGATGACATCTTGATTTCTTCCCAGTGCACCGGAGCACTGCTTTGGAGGAGATGAAGCAGAGTGTTTAGGATCAAAGAGGTATGCCAGAGAGACACCTCAGAAAAGCCCTGCACCCTCACCGACTCTCAGTCACCCTCCTGTGGTGCTCTCTTGTCTGCGCACATTCACACAGGAATTCAGCTCTGTGAATGAGCGTGTGGTGCAAAAAGGTGCGTGATGGGTTGTGATGGCTTTCAGTTTGAGGGAGTTCCTTGCCACAGGTATAAAAGCAGCAAATGGGCTGTGCTGATGCGGACAAGGTCAGGCAGTAGTGTGCATAGGTGAATTGTAATGAACTAAGAATGCATATGTTTATGAGTGTGTGTGGGGTGTGCATGCATGATGATGACCGTTTAGTCTTGCCAGTCAAGAAAATTCACTTGAGATTTGATTCTGTGTGAAGCTCTGCCTCTTTCAAGCCTCTCTGTATTTTGCTCATGAAGTACGGCAAAGACAGTTAATAGGAGGGAGAGAGATGAAGCTGGGTCAGCGCACCCATCAAGTCTTCACAAAGCGCAATTTCAGCTCATTCACAGTTTTATCTTGAAAAGGCCCATCCCGAAGCTGGCTCATCTCTCACTCACTCCCGCAGGAGTGAAGACCAAAAAAACAGCAGGAAAAAATCACGGAATTTTCTATTGAACTGCCAAGTCGAGGGGGAAGAACGGGTTGTTCCAGAACTGTGAAAGCCTTCAGAGTGCAATGCTGAACTCACAGCAAGCATACACATTAAGTTCCACAGTCTACCAGCAACATTATTAATATACAGCAGAGGCAGCTGAGTGCAGTACCCACCGGTCAGTTTCTTTGCTGAACTGGCCTCTGCCGACATCGTTGACGGCGCACAGGCGGAACTGGTACGATCGCGCTGGGATGAGGCCACCAACAGTAACCCCGACAGACTCTGGTTCAATGTTGGCCAGCAGTACCGTCCAAGGGGCATCTGAGAGGGAGAATAAACAGAGCTAGGAGCAATAGCAAGTGAACAGTAAATGACCTTGTGAGAACATTTACATTCTTGAGGAAAATCTCTTCAGCACTTGCAAACTCCAATTTAAATCCAATGTTATTCCAGACTATTAGCGCACGCCGTTGTTTCATTTTCAGTCATAATATTGCGGCTACTGATAAAAAACAAGTCATTTATTTTGTGTACACTCAATCTAAATATCAGATTGAAATTCAATTATCCAAAAACCAGATCCCATCTGCATCCTCGGATCCATTCTCCTTTTAATGAGTTGTCATCTTCTCAGTTAGCCTGAGCGTCGATGAGAAATGGCTGACCGATTTACTCTCTATGGGTGAAAGCATTCCCACTTCTTTGATTTTATCAAGCGAAAGGGAGATAAGAGCATTGGGCATCAACACAATTTGGTTCTCCTGATCATTTGCAAGGAAGCGTACAGGTGAGGCAATTGAGGTATACTGACTGCAGGAGGTAAGAGAGGATGCGATTTTAGGGAGACAACTGAAATGGTGCATAATAAGAAGGGTTGCAAATGAGCGCTTCCTTTTAAATGACTAAAAGGAAATGCATCAGTTTTTTGAGAAACATGCATTGTTAATGGTGACACTGGTGCCTTAGTGATAAACCACTCACTGTTTTCTGAGACCTCCAGGATGTAGCGGATCAGGGGGCTGTTGCCATCAAAGGCCTGGGCCCATGTAAGGTTGATGGCCCTCTTCTCTGTGGTACTCAGAACTGCTATTGGGTTTTCTGGAGCATGAGGCAGCTGCCTGCATGTACATGTATACATGTGAGAGGGGACAAGTGATAAAGAGGAATAGAATCAGACAAGAGAGGCGGCAAATAACAGAATCAAACAGCCAAACCAAGAGCCTTGCATTGTAAATATTAGAGGGTTTGATGGATTAGAGAGGAGAGCAGTGATAAACCACAACAGCGGAGAAAATATCCATCTATCATGCTGTGGCCCGACGTAAATAAGAGAGGGAAAAAAAATACAGACATCAAGATAAGACAGGGGAGACATGAGGCAAATATGCAGACCTGACTCTGAGGTGGGCACTGCGGGAGTCATTACCACCCACTGAGGTCACCCTGCAGGTGTATGTTCCAATGTCACCCGACCACGTCTGGGAGATGTGCAGGGTCCCGTCGGGATCCAGCCGCAGGCGGGGCAACGTGTTCACGTCAATCACTGAGCCACTCTTCTCCCACACATACCTGGAGGTTCAAACATGTGTATGTAAGAGTAGTACACATACCAGGGCGCACAAACACACACAGTCACACTTTAACACTCTATATCTGTAAGCGTGGTGAAAGTAAATCCGTTTGCTTTGTGTCAGATCATCCAGCAAAAACAAAGAAGGCGCTAACACCAATGAAAAGCCCAGTATGGCTGATGGCTAAGTGATTTGTATCTGAAAAACATCTCTCACTGTCACACATACAGTACAGCCCCCCCCAACACCATACATAGGCGCATACGCGTGCGCACACTAGAAGCTCCTGTGATTAATTGCGTCTGTTTGGGCTTTCCAGCTAATCTCCTCTGTGTTGCGTTTAATTAAAGGCGCTGTCTGAAGTTATTACTCTGTTTACATATTCATCTGTTTACCCCGCGATCTGATCAATGCCTTGGGCCCACAGGTGACAGGCACTCTAATCACTGGGCTCCAAAGACATCATTTCACTCCCTCGGAGACAGATGCATGTGCACACACTCTATCATGCTCAAGTCTGTCTGAAGAGTGAGGAAAAGCGATGGACTAATTCCTCAATCAGACTCTAAGAGTTTCAAAATCTTCCCATAGGAGGTCGTCTAAGGGTGGATAAACACTATAAGATCTCTTGCAGATTTCATAAACTAATTAAGCACGACATTGATACCCAAGCGTGTTTTCTAGACTAGGGTTGCATCAAGGAATAGTTACAAAAAAGTATGTGATGTCTGGCATTTATTAAAAATTGTTTGTGAATAAAAGAAGACTACATACTTGACAAAATTCCAACAGATATTGCAAGTGGATGTCATCATTACCTGACAGTGACACTGGGGTCATGGGTCACACCACAGGTCAAAACAGCCTTTGTCCCTTTGATGACACTCTGGTCTTGTGGCGGTTTAGTGATGCGGGTACGTGCTGGGAACACACAGAGAGGTTGTTATTCACAGACTGTGTTTGAACAACAGATTGAACAGAGCTTACTGGACTTGGTCTCATCTCTCACTCAATGTCCTTCTGAAACAGAGTGATTCACACAGTATTTCTGATGGGTGGTGTATCTTGCAAGACTTTCCAGGACTGAAATTTGTCATTTTATGCACAGGAAATGAGTACATGCATTAGTCATTAAACTGTAGGCCAAATATCTTGACAATGACTTTCAGGAACCAGGTAATTTATAAGTTACGGATTAAAAAAGAAGTGTGTTTCTTTTTCTTTTTTAAAATATTTATAGTATTTTCGGTAACACTTTCTATGAAGGTCATCGCTATAATGACTTATGCATATATTTATAACACAATATAATGCTTCCATAAGACATTATAACAGTTGTTATAATCACTTACAAACATGCATTAGGCGCTATAGCAAAGTTCATAATGTATTATGACCTTTTGATTTAATGTTTTATAACTAATAGTAATACCAGTTTATATCAATGTGCGGCAAGAATCTCTGACCATGTTCCATAACAACAAGCAATTGAGGAGACATTTCTTTAGGATTTTAATGTGTAAACGAAATGTTTAGTAATTATCCAGAATTTACACAAGATGGATCATCACCATCTGAATTTTAATCAAATCGAATCGTGAGGTGCCAAGAGATTCTCATTCCTACTGCCCAAACAGTATGCCCATTCAATTACTTTAAAATGTCTTTTTTATAGGCTACGTTTTGTGAAGTGGTTGTCTTTAATCGTCCACTGCATCTGTTAGGGCCTGTCCATAGGCTCGCCATTCATCTGTGATTACATCTGAGCCTCGCCTTAACGTTACATGATGTTGGTCGGCAACAGGTCTTCTCTTGAGTGATCTCTCACCACCCTGACAATGAGTTTTCTTGATGTAATTAAGTTGTGTTTTTGTGCTATACTGCAAAATGTTCAAAATCCATACAGATTGTTCATAAATTGAAGAAACATAAATAAAAGTTGTTTTCCTGCGCAAAATGTGTGTCACTTTACTTAAAGCAAGCAATTACGTGTAATAAGGTCTTAAAATTAGTTCACATGGTATTATGTCCACCTGTAATATATTATATAGGGATAGATATTTTAACACTTTACTTAAAGCAAACAAAGACATGCTATATAACTTTAAACATTACTATAAGCTATTATTCCATTTTATATCACTAATTGTAAATGGTGACTAAAGTGTATTTATAACGAGGCAGAGTTGATGGTTATAATGTGTTATAGAACATGGTCGGAGATTCTTGCCGCACATTGATATAAACTGGTATTACTCTTAGTTATAAAATATTAAACCAATAGGTCATAATACGTTATGAACTTTGCTATAGCGCCTAATGCATGTTTGTAAGTGATTATAACAATTGTTATAATGTCTTATGGATGCATTATATCGTGTTATAAATATATGCATAAGTCATTATAGTGATGACCTTCATAGAAAGTGTTACCGTATTTTCTACATGCGCTGGATGAAGTGAAGACACGGGTTCACAGACAATGCAAGCAATATGAATGGTGTGTACAGAGTATTCACTTTCTGTTATGCTTACCCCAGACCACTAGGTCGGCTGAAGCTTCATCAATGCCCCTGGAGTTACTGGCCATGCAGGTGTAGGTACCAGCATCAGACAGGTGGGATGGACTGATTAGCAGGCTGCCCGACTCCAGCAGGGTGAACCTGGGCAGCTGGACAGAGCCACTGGCCAAGACACGTTCACCTGCAGGGAAGGGCAGAAATGATTGATGGTATGGGATAGAGGACAGGGGAAAAAGGGGGAAAAAAGAGAAAGAGAGATTAGGGTATTGGAGAAATGTCAGGGAAAACAAACAGGAGTGAAAGCAGTGCAGCAAAAGTAAAGAAGCTTGTTTGGAGAAAATGCATAGTCTGAATCCTTTCTGTAACTCTTGCATAACTTCGACAAGCCCAAATGCAGGACTTGAATGCTGTTGACCCACGTACCTTTCTGCCAGGTGATGGCTGGCCGTGGGGCTCCTGAGGTCTCACAATGAAGAATGACTGACATGCTGTCAATAACGGCGCTGTCAGAGGGGCCAGCAGTGATGTTAGGAGCGATACCTGACAGGGAAGGGGTTCAGCCACACACACAGAAACACACATGCACACATACAAACAAAATCAGGTGAGACAGAGGTGATAATGAGAGACATAAACAGCTTTCTCCCTAATAAAGCAGACGGCAGCTGAGAGCTTAATAGACTTGACAAAAGGGCCGGCTGTCAGGTCTCATTCTCAGGGACAGCTCTGAGAATCTGACAAGGCGCCTCCGTTTCTCTGCTTCTCCTGCACATACTTTGTTTCAAAAATAGCAAATAATTGCCCGACAAATCTGTCAATGCAAAGAGATATACAGATAGATGGGTGTAGGAGGAAAGCCAGAGAGAGGGAGAAAAGAGGATTAGAAACGAGAACAGAGGAGCGGATTTAAGAATAAAAAAGAGGGAAGAGAGAGGGGAGGATGAGCAGAATTAAGCAGCAGACATGCAGATAGCTTTGAAAAATGTTCAAGGGGACGTACTAGTAACAGCTAGATAGGTGTTTGTCTGGATCTCTCCTGCGGGATTGCGGGCAAAGCACTGAAACATCCCTGTGTCATCTGGCAGGAGACCGTTGATCTGTAGACTACCTCCTACCAACACCCTGTACCTGGGGATCTTTACCGGGCTGATGGGCACAGCGTCTTTATACCACACTATGTCTGGCTGCGGTGTGCCTGCAGAGAAAGGAGAGGATTTATTTTTTCCCTTGTCACTGTAACCCTTTTGTTCTTTTTGTTCTTGTTCTGGTACTTCTTTGCTCTTTCACACACGCAACAGTACAGAGATAAACAAACACCACTAACCTCGTGCCTGACAGGGGATATCCACCACCTTCTCCATCTCTGCACTGATGTGACTTAGCGGCTCTTTGACAAACAGAGGATACTCTGTTTCGAAGAAGAAAAAGAATTAAACGTTAAAGCCTTTCAAGACAACTCACAAATCATCTTTGTTTTTTTGTTTTTTTTATCTCTGCCCTTCTCTGGTGAACTAGCAGTGCCACTCTAGGAAACATCAACTCAACTAAAATGACACATTGGTTCAATATTCGGATAATTTAGGTTCAGCTGCTCTGTGCGAGGTTAAAATGTAAACTGAGGGTTATTTACCGAGAACATGCAGGAAGGCCCCGGCAGTGACTGAGGGGACACTGCTACTGCGGAGTGATGCCTCACACTCGTAGTAGCCACTGTCACTGACTGCAGGCGAACTGATGACCACTCTACGGCCGAAATCTCGGATCCCCGTGTTGACCAGTACCCCGTCTTTCCTCCAAGTAATACTCATTTTGACAAGGGGTCTGGTGTAGAAAAAGATGAAAAGGGGAAAAAGAGCGCAAGAGATAGGGAATGTGGTTTTTAATACAGATTCATATTCTGTTTCAAGGTTATGGAGCATTGAGGGAGCAATGGGATACATCTGTCATTCTGATTAAGTCTTTGAATTGGAGATAATAGTCTGAATTCAGGCCTGGGATTGCGTGAGGTAGGGAGAACAGAGTGAAGCCTTGAATCAAAGGGAAGAATGGAGGAGAGGTACAAAATGAAAGATGTACAAAATACGTTTGTATCATGTTCAAACAAAAGATTTCAAAATTCATTTAAATCACAAAATATCAGATGTGGAGGCGAGAGAAGGTGGAGGTGTTTTGATAATGTGTGCATGTTCCTCCATGTGCATTTGCATTTTCCTCATTATCCATGTGTTGAAATTTACCTCGCATTGGCAACACACTCCATGATAGCCTCGTTTCTCCCCATGGTTACACTGGTGTTCTTGGGGGGGATGATGATAGAGGGGGCGATGGGGTCTGCAGGACCTCCCACATCTATCAGACACACAGAAATGCATAGAGGTGGATATAAACATTTGAAAAAATCTATTCAACATGCAGACCTCAGATTAAGCCTGGGCTTCTACCTATTATAGCCGACTGAGCATGATTTGATCCTTACGTAGAGACTGACAATCTGTCACTTTCACCAGCAAGTTGCCAGCATGCTATCACCCAACTATTAACACCTCTGTCTTTACTTTAGATCCTTTTTCTAGAGCACACAGTGTTTCCTGAGCACGGTGTTAGACCAGGTGTTAGAAGCCATTATGTAGCATAATTGAGACAAACACAAAAGGCGATTAAATGCAGCACCATCACTCACGGGTTTCACAGAGCCTCCAGCCAACCATCGATTCACTGCCCTCAATCAGTGATCTTTCTCTGAATCTGATCTCATTTTCCCCCCAACCTCCCAGGAGTATGGGTATGGGGCTGTGCGCTCTTTATGTGTTTATATGTATGTATGTGAGTGATTGCACGTTTACGGTGTATTGTGTGCAGAGACTGTATACATACATGCAAGTGTGTTTGTATGTGCCAATGTGCATTTCCATACTTCTTTTCAAGGCTACCCCAAGTTAACAGGGTCCGTCATCAAGTTTATTTAATGATTATTGTTATTTTGTGCCATCTCATTGGAAATCAGACCCATTCAAGGCACATTTTTGTGGAATCTCAGTGTAATGACAAAGTTTCCTCTACAAACACAGCCTGAATGTAAGAGCAGCCCTCCTGATGGGCTATTGCTATTTGGCACTGCTTCCCTTTTGATTGCTTCATTCCAGTCTCCAGCTTTTCAGTTGTAGAGTTTAAAATCATGATTTCACAATTTTACAATCCCAGTTTAACACAGCATATTGAATAAGTTGTTAAAATACAATTTACAATGTGAAATTCAATTTGTTTGTGGGGCGCCCACATGATATATTCTGAATGAACTACGCTGCATAAGGCTGAGGTTGAAGTTTTAAAATCACTGTAAAGCATGGCCTAGAGTACAAATGTTCACAGTAGACAAATAAGATGCTTATTGTATTTAAAAGTATAAACCAGGTAAGTGGTGGACCCTGACCCTAAAATGCATTATCATGTTTTGTAGACAAAAACCTAAATTGGGTTTAGAAACGAGAAATCTGAATGTAGAGGCAAAATTTGTCCTTTTAAAGAGATGTGAGTGTGTGTGTGTGTGTGTGTGTGTGTGTGTGTCTAAAAGGCATATTTAAAGGCAGAGGATTTACCCATTGATGGATAAGTAATAGACAAATTGTGCAGCTGAAAGGTTTTTGAATTCTACTAGACCTCCCGATTAATCCATTTCATTATGGTGGTACAAGCATAATCTTGAGGGCATTATTGACATTAGTATCAATTAGCATAGTGAAGACCAATCAATCCATGAAGAACAGCTTTCTGTCCAGTCGTCAGATGAGTCAAAAAATTGAAAAAGAAGAAATAAAACATGTTGCAATGATTTGCCTAGGTCCAAGGGATTTATGAGGAAAAATCCAAATCACTTGGATCAGAATTTCTTGGCTAAAATGTTAGATTACATGCATTTGGCTGATTGATGTAAATTTTTGTTGCCTCATTAAAGATGTGAGATTATGAGAAAAATTTGATTGTTGTGGGTCTTATGGTCTATGTGGAAAAGAAGTAGATGTAGAGAGAGGAGAGGAGGAGGAGAAGAAGAAGTGATTGATGGAGAGGGCAGATGAAGAATTCTATCAATGCTAACATTCATCCTCTAGCAAGAAGAGTAAGACATCAAGAGTAAGCAAACTGGTTATTAAGATCACTAATTGGTAGGTGTACAAACAGCACATAATATATAAATAATCTATGAATGGTCCATTGATTGGAATTGTTGATGCAGTCAATTGTTGATGCAGCTCCTGTGTAAAATTGTCCCCTGCAAACAGAGTGCAGATATTAAACTTTCTATCTATTTAAGGTTTATCAAACCTTTTGTGTAAATATAATATTGAAACAAGTTTGTTAAGTTAAGCTAAAATTTCATAATATTTCGCTGTTGTCTATTTGCCAGGGACACAGTGACAACTGGGAATCCATTTGAGTTGTCAAATAACTCATTTTATTTTCCAGTAGAAAGGACTCGTTCCTTGGCAGACATTAATTAATGTCGTTCAGTTCATAAACTCTCAGTGTTGAGAATACCTCAAGTGTGTAATCTTCTAATTAAAAGGGAAAAGTAAACAACATGGTGACCTGCATAGCAAATTCCTGCTACTAATGTCACCACATTGTTTACATCTGTCCATGTTCAAAGACAAATGTAAACCTAAGTCAACTGTAGTGAATTTCACACTCTAAAGAATAAAACAAAAACGCAAAATGTCTGTCCAATTGGAGTACTAGCCAATGTCAGATTGCTTTTTACTAGACTTGGCTCTCTCTCATTTGTATGCTCCCTTTGGATCAACACGCTCCCTCTACTGCATATTTTTCTGTCTTTTCTCCACAGAATTGCTAAAATGAACAAATGCAGCTGTAAAAAACTCATTGACTTTCAGATGCAAAATACGGTTGTATGATCCACAAGGCCAGATTCAGTGATATTCAGTGATATCTGGTCCCCACAGATTGCTGTGTCATGCCTATTGAGTGCTGAATTATAAACTGTTTGTATTAATAATATGATGAGCAGATGCTGGAGCGAGATATTTAAAATCATCATACAATAGTCAAAACTTCTATCAGATAAATAAGACAAATCCTATGAGTGTGATATCTTTTAACAAAGGTTGTGGTATAAAATAAAATCATAAATATTATCTTAGGGGCCCGCTAGTTAGAAATATATTAAGGGAGTCCTTTAACTGGCTAGTTGTACTAAACAGAGACAGACTGATTTTGTTTAGATGGAAAAAGGTGACAGAGGTGGGAGGATAGGGATGCGTCAGGTTCGGCAAAGCATGATTTGACATGTAGCCATACTAGCGTGACCAATGCCAAACCTTAAGTTGTGAACATGTTGTTCATAAGTGAGGCCGACCTTCTAATCTGATGTGTGAGTGTTTGTGTGGGTGTGTGTATGTTTAATCACTCCCCGGTTCGCTCAGTGTCATTTTCATAAATCTGCTTTTTGTGAGGAGCGATAAAACCGAAGGTCCACTTTATGAGCTTGCACATCCAGTCAGTCAGACAGGTGCTGCTGGAGCTCCACCTAAAAGGCATCTTATGACCGTAATTCACTGCTCAAGCCAGAGGTTAGAGGAGGATGGCAGAACAAGAGGACAACTATTTGGGTGAAGGTAATGTGTATGATTATGTCTGTTGGACAGAGAGAAGAAGAAACGGCAGAATGGAGTGATACGATGAACCAGTAGAGGGCGCAATCTCTGCTTCTAGCATCTGCCTGAGCCACCTGTTGTGTAGCTGCTATGTTGAATAAATATGTGTGTTCAAGTGTTGAGCTGAAAAATAATATGACAAATAAAACTTTTTATTTTATTTTAAACTACATTCATCTGCAACAACCTGTTAATGCAATATGCTGACAATCTGCCAGCGACGAGTGTCTTTCACTCAGTGGGCGAGGGAGTCTGTTGCTTAAATGTGTGTGGTTGCATGTGCACTTGAATGAGTGTGTGTGTCTTCATGTGTACTTACTCTCCACTGTGAGTGTGATGGGCTGACTGGTTTTGTTCTCCCCATTCTTGTCATTGACTGCCTGGGCGTAGTAGCGTCCCGCATCAGGGGCCACAGTGGACAAGATGACCAACGTGTTGTCCAGGGTGATTGCACTGGATGAATATTCATGCACACACAAACACACACATGCACACATTTGTTAAGCTTTTAAGGACACTGCATTGCCTTACATTCATTCCCATGACACTCACTTACACTCAACTTTACCCTAATAAAGACAAAAAGAACTTTAGGTAGTGCCGAATGTAGCTAAATCAAGTAACCAATTTGCCTCTGACTTCGGCATTCCAAAATATGTCCCCAAACACACACCAAACACATACACACATTAACAAGCACACATATACACTCATATCATTAGGCTGGTGAGTGCTTGTTTCTCACAGTCAATAAATCCTGAGGGTAAACTGATACACAACACACACACACACACACACACACACACACATTATGTCTGAAATGAAGCATATAAAACAAGTTTTATGAGCATGTCTATCTACAAGGTACCAGTGCCTTAAAGAGATAGTTCATAATTTATCTTGTTATTTTATACACACCGTTCCTGCAGAAAGTCAGTATGTGGGTATACAAAGCGTACCTTTATTTCAATTGCTGTATGTTCCCAGGTGGCTTAAGATAAGTTAGGCTGGTCTTGTCTCTTGGACTCTGTAGGCCAGTCTGAGTTTTGCCCAGTCGGCCACGTTTTCTTTGGTTGGAAAAGATTCTTAATATATCCAGATAAATTAATAGGTCCTACAGTAGCTTTTGTACAACTCATGAATGTAGCTGTTGTTGCGTATTTGTAGTATAGTTGTAAGATGTGAGCCACAGTCAGAGTCCATCTCTGTGCAACTTGCTCCAGTATATAGTGCTGAATAATGGCAACAGACAAATGCTGAAAGCTTAAGTACATAAAGTCCCTAATTTAGAAATATACTTTTTAATTTTCACAGAAACACCCCAATATTTCTTTAAATGCTGTAACCACTCACTCACTATAATGTGTTGTATCATGTAATTTCAGCTTGCCTGATCTGTGGAGTGTCTTTTGTGCTTAAAATGGATTTTTGATTTGTCCCACATTAACTGCATTAACAGAACTTATGAAAAGCTATGTAGGATACAATTAAACAGGATGAATAAGTGTAAAACCTACGCAATAGCAACTGGCTTGAAAAATACCAAGCTATTTCTTTTGAATGGCTGAATGTTAGTGTGGCTGATGGTCTAAAACGTTTGAGAAGGGCCCATTAAATGAGAGCTGACGTTAAGCACGCGGCAAGATTAGGCTCTTCGTATCTGCCAGCATCTGCCTGATCAGTGCAGGATAAACAGACACACTCCTGGACAATTAGGAGACGTGGTTCTAACTGAGTCAACAGACACTTACATGCAAACACATAAACACCAATATACACACACGCCTGTGAATATCAATGTGGCCTGACACAAAGCGAGCAAACAAGCGTTAAATGCAGAGTGTCCTGTCAGTGCCTCTCATTGTCACAGAGAAAAGCTTCACCGCTTCACTTCTGATAAGAGTCAGCTGCATAGTAACCAGCTCTGGAATTGGTCGAAACACATGGAAGGGGTTGAGGTTTTTCTTTCAATTTCCTTCAGTGCTTGTACTGCGTTGTTGGAGCCCTGTAGCCAGAGCGTGCATGCACCAATCCGTTCTTCAAGCGAGAGCACGCAACTCAGGGTAAACGTCTGCATGTCAGTTACAACATGGCAGAGCTCACTGCTGAATAATAGATGAGGAGGTGATTTCTGAGGATTTGTGTGGACTGTCTACCTCTATTTGTCTGAGTGGCAAAATTAATCTCAGGTGATTACCTGCACAGTATCTCTTCGGGAAAATTGCATATCTGAACAGACAAAAACACTCACACTCGAAGCATAGCCTTTTCAGATATACAGTCACCCACAGAACTCCCACACTTTCAACTTACACCCTCACACAGATTGTTACCACATGCACATATGCACATATGCACACACACACACACACACACACACACACACACACACACACACACACACCCATACACACAAATCCACCCAGGGGTGAGGGCTGTCAGTCAAACATATCATCAATGGAGGCCTTTTGTCCAATTTTGTCTAATTGGTTCCCCTGCTGCCTGCTCTGTCTCTACCTTTCAATCATTCTGCCTGCAAAGTCAATAGGGGCGATATAATAACCCGCTTTATCACTGAGAGGGGATTCAATGATGAACACAGGGCCTGCGCCAACATTCGTTCATCAACTACTCTGCTCAACTTCATTCATGGTGTGTGGGGGATTGTAGAAAATCTGTGAGCAGTATTGAACTTCTTGGAGTTCTCTGAAGTGAAAGATATTCTGCTTCAGCAACTCAACATTCACCAGCAACTCATATATGAGAGCACTTGTTCAGACATGCACAGAAAAACACAAGTCACATGCACACACGCTCTGCTAAAACTAAACAAACTGAAGGTGAAGGTTGACTTACATTCGGCTGCTGGAGGGAATCTTACGGCCATCTCTGAACCAGGTGATCTGTGGCCTGGGGAAGCTGTGTATCTGCGGGGCGTGGATGAGAGCACCCTCACCCTGGGATACAGTTTGAGACCTTTCACCCTCCACAAAACCACCCATATCTAGCAGTCATAAAGAGCATAAGAAGGGATAAAAAAGAAGGGGAGTAAACGTTGAATTAATACTAGGGAAATTGTTGGAAGTGCATGCCAGCAACAAATCAAATGAAAAGCAAGAATTGTCATTAGTACCACATCATGTACCTTCTTCAAAAACTAAGCTCCTTTACTCTGAGTGACTCATCCACATACTGTGCATGACAAGCCTTTAACAAAAACAGTGTCCTCCCCTTAAGCTGTCAGAACTGGAGATGTATGGAAATAAACCCACACTTACAGGCAACCTGCACTTCAGTACTGCACTGCATTATAGCGCCCACTCGATTCCTCACAATGCAGCGGTAGTGGCCGGCGTGCAGCCGGTCCAGCGAAGGGATCAGGTACCTAATCGGCACACACAACACAAAGTGCCATTAGTCATCATCAGCATGACAGACAGCGACATTTGTCATCTTGGCGCTTTTATTCCCCAATACGCAAGATGCTCAATTAATCGAGATGTATCATTGGGCACCTGAAACACAGCTTAAATGGCATTCCACTTGAAGTGGGATTTGGTGCGTTGTGGTGCTGGAGAGTATAGCAAACTTAAGACTGTAAGAAGAATGTAATCTTTAGGCCAGCTATGGGGCAAACAGCAAAGATAGAAGAGTTTCTGAGTGGCAGGACTAACAAAAACCTGTTGTTATCCTGTATCCTCAGTCAGTTGAATCAATACCAGCACCTGTCACATGTTAGTCCCAGGCAGCCATATCGGTGTCTTTCCCCTGAGGGGCATTCATGTTAAATGGTTTTTGTGAAATGATAGCTAGATAAACCCAGAACTGTTAATTGGTTTCTACAACCACTTAGGAGTGTAGAGTCCGGCCGGTCTACCCTGTTTCCCCTGCACTGCAATTCAGGGTGGGGTGGGAAGTTGGAGTGTGGGTGATGTGTGTGTGTGTGTGTGTGTGTGTGTGTGTGTGTGTGTGTTGGGGGGGGGGGTCTGATTAAATGGATTCCAGTTCTCCTCTTTGATCAGGGCTGGTGAAGAATAACAAGCAGAGGGCTGGCCTGAAAAGCAGACCCAGAGACTAAGCCACGTGAGAGCTCAGCCAAATGCTGAGGAAAGACAGGGAAAGAATAAAAAGATGGGGGGGGGGGGGGGGGGGGGAGAGAGGGAGAAAGACAGACAGGAGAGGGAAGGTGCATGTGGGGAGGGGGTAGCCAGCGATAGCAATCAGACAATGCCACCTGCGAGTGTCTGTCTATGTCTAGGGGACTAGTCAGACTGTGAGTAGCGAGTACAGAAAACACGGCTAGAATTAGATAGAAACTGACTTTCTCTGTGGACTGCAACTGTGTACACACATGCAGGCCCAGTGGCCCACAAGCATACAGCTCATGTACAAATAGACACACTGATACATAAGCACATATACACACACACACACACACACACACACACAAAGGCCTTGTTGAAGCTTTATCCTTAGTATATCCAAATTCGGTGCTCTTAGTGTAAGGTTGTAGTACATAATAAAACAGTACCCGGAAGAACACAGTCAGTGAAACAGCATCTCACTGCTGACAGAGGAAATTAGCCCACCCACACTGCACAATCTGATGGAAAATATGCATTGTGCGATTTTTGTCACAGCAATGAAAGTTACAACAAACAGCAAGCGAGAAAATAAGAGTTATCTGCTCACACCATCTCTGAATGTTGAATACGGTGTCAGAAACAAATCGGAATAATTCTGACAATCCCCTGAACATAAGATGTTCTGTCTCAAGGGAGACATGCAGCCAAATCAGTCCTGAATAAATGCATAGAAATGAGTGTAGCATTAAAATAAAAATGAGCAATTGAGCTATTACTTACAATTAAACGCTGCTAAAATGTCCTCATGAAGTAAGCTAATTACAGTTATGAATAAAAAGATAATAGAATCAGCTCTGGCAGGCAAGGTTGCATTCTTCACCTGTATTCCAAGGAGAAACGTGTAAGTTCGGTACCATTGTAGATCCATTTGAATTCTAGGGGCCAGCTGCCCTCTGCCATGCAGGTTAGGACCAGGCGGTTCCCCTCCAGGTGAACCTGGGTCTGAGGAGGCTCCATCTTAAAATAAGGTGGGACATCATCTACTGGAAAGAGAGAAAGAAGAAAGAGAGAAAAGTGAGAATGAACAGTAAAGACATAGGAAAAGACAGGGAAAGAGAGGGAAAGAAAGAAACAAAGAGAAGCAGTGAGATGGGGTAGTTGGTAAAAAAGGCAATGATTCAGTAACCCCTGTGAGCAGACACACAGCACAATTCCAGCAATTCACAGGAAATGAGGACTCAGAACAAGCTATTTCCATTTTTCTTCTGCACTGATTGGGAACTTGAAGGTCAACAGAGAAGCCTGCCAAAAAGCACATGGAATAAGTTGTTACTGCAAAAGCAGCTTGCTCTTTTATTTCATTTGAAAATGCGTTGGCAAAGAGGTAGAAGAGCAATTTGTGCAGCAGAGGAAGTGTAAATGAACACTTCCATACCTCTAGATCAGTAAAAGAGGGTGGGGAGAGAGACGGGGAGACAGAGAGAGGAGGGAAGGGGGAATGGGCAGAAAGCAGATGGAGAAAAATACACACAAGAGATTGCACACAAAAATGAACACAAACAAGTAGGATGATAAGAGAGTGTGAAACTAGGAAGCCGTGGTGTTGGGGGGTGGTAGGGGCTGGTTTAGAAAACACATAGTTTCCCAGCCTTAAACCCCCTTCTCTGACAGGATGAGTTATGCTCTGTGCCTCCCTTCATTTATCTTTATAGTTCCCTAATGCAGCCAGATTATACACGCCCCATCCGCAACACTGCACACAGCCAGTGCAGCCACAGAAAGCCTTTAAGGTGATACGCAAGGTCCAGGGCTGAGCTTGGAGACAAAGTGCTTTCATTTGAGCTGATGAAAAAGGCATGATCAGACCTATTGATCTGTCTGCCTCGCCAGCCACAGGCGACACTGAGCCGATTGTGCCAGTGTTTGTGGCGGGCTAATTAAAGTCTGTATTAATAGTTGCAGTAAGCCGCCAAGGCCTGGAGCACGCCTGGTTATAGGTCTACCACACTAGCTGACTCACTCTCATGGCTGATTACTGGAGCCTCTCTCTCTCTCTCTCTCTCTCTCTCTCTCTCTCTCTCTCTTCACATCCATAGGCAAGTTCACGCCCAAGATTTATGGTGGTAAATGCAGAGGATGGTGTGGTAGAACTGGTTGAATGCGAGGGCAGCCTCACAGAGCTGGGAAGGGGACATAGAAAAATGAACCTGATTGAAACTGTAAATAAAAGAATGACTGTGCACCTCTGTGTTTCACACAAGCGGTCATGTGTACACTGTGTGCATTCACACAACACAGATAACAGGACACACATGTACACACCAGTGCACACAATACCCATCCAAAAGCTTCAGCTTACTCCCCTATCTATAACCCACAAATACACAACTCATAAAAGGAAGCTAACAAACAACAGCCATCTCATTGCTTTCTTTTTCCAAAACCAGCCGTTATATGTTCCCCGTTTGGTAACAACAATACTCCACAACCTGGCTAATCTGTTCTTTTTTCTCCCTTGCATGGTCTTCTTCAAAACAAACACTGTCAAAACCAACGAGCCCTTGAAACTGATCCCTGTCTGAGTCCAAATTGTGGAGCCATCCCTGTTTATCCCCAGGCACTAGATGCTGGAGTGGTGGCTTTGCTGTAATTCCATCCACTAGTAAATGCATTCGCACTTGACACACACGCACACACACACACACACACACACACACACACACACACACACACACACACACACACACACACACACGCACACACACTGTACACACACAATCCCAAAACATTCACTTATGCCTGAAAAAAACCCCACACATAGAACAACACCCAGCCACTTTCAGCTGGTTCAGGGGCTTGGTGGCAATGTGCACTTAGCAATGTGCACAACAAGCCACCATTAGAGACCTTCACATGCCAAACCCAGTCACAGATTGATCGTCTGAGGCAAGGAATATGCATAATACTAAGTTACTGATGTGAAAATGGGGAATGGGGAATTGATTGCACTGTAATTACCACCGTGGTTACCTGTTTTAGTGCCATTCATGTGTTCACATTTGTTTCTGCCATTGTGTTGAGCCCTGATTATGAATCCCTGAACACTGGCTATCTGCATTTCAAAACACAGTTACGAAGTGCTTTACAAAACAAGATAAAAAGAAACAAAGCTAGCCCGCGCGAGAGAAAAGTCATTGTTTAACATCTCTTAAAGTGCAGAATCAACATCCAGTTTCATGCTGCTAAACCCAAGAAAAGATTGCTCTCCATGTTCACTCTGTCTTCTCTTTGAGAACTCAAATGACAGCTGACTGCCAACAGTTCTTGCTGCTGAAGGAAGATAGGACCGCTGATAAACCGCTGCACACTGGGCTCTGGGATCTAATGAGTTTCCAAAAGAGAACCTCTTGTCTGACCCTAATTCTCCTCTTTCTTTTTATCACTGTGCTTTTGACCTTTTTAGTGAACCGCTGACGACAAATGCAGGTGATACATTTATTTCTGTGGTAGACACTGCATGTGTTTTAAAGCAACTACAAGGAGTTTTTAACTGGTTAGGAAACAGTTTCAATTTGAAGGCTTAGTGTGTAATATTTAGACATATTGACAGAAATGTAATTTAGTATAACTTATTTTTAGTGATGTATAAAGACATTACGTAATAAATTGTTATATTTTTATTACCTTAGAATGAGCTATTTCTATCTACATACACCACGGGTCCACTTGCACGGACGACATGTTGCGCCGCCATGTTTCTCTCTCTTCAGAGGGCATTTCGTCACTACTTTGAATACGTATGAAGACGAAAAACAAGTAACATTAGTAGTAGTGCTAGTGGTATTGGTCTATTAGAAGTAAAAAAAGAAGAGAAATAGGAGGCCCACGCGTATTATTTAGTATAAGAACCGACAGAGCGTGTCGGCCACTGTAGATTCTCCTGTGTATTTGAAAGGGAGGGATGAGTGGTGCATTCAGTGGTGTCGTAATATTATTATCTGCTTAAATCTTTATGGCAAAAAGAGAAATAAAGTGTACAAGGACCATTAAGAAGTATACAGAAATGTACAACATGTAATTTGTACTATGGTTATAATGGTAAATTTGCTTTCCATGTAGAGTGAACTAGATGTCTGCATGTTTTTTGTTCATATACTCTGATAATGCTAATCCAACACATCATCTGAGTAGCGTCCATGTTTATTCCACATTCCAACTAAAGAGCAATTTGAATCGTAAATATCAAACATGGGCGAGTCGGGCCCAAAATTGGCTAAATTATCCTCCGTGCAGCAAGCATTAGTTGTATGCTTTTGTGTAACCCATGTATGAATGGAACTAAACAAGTTAACCTTGTTTCACCATTGTCATATTACAGTTGTAATATGACATAGCCACAAAGTGATGTATCACCTCATCGCTATACAACCTGCAAACATCTTGTAGTGTGTAGTTGCTTTGAGTATGGTTCCTCTGTTTCTTCTGTTTGAGTTTTTGTTTGAGCAGATAAATACTGTGAAAATGTATTTCTTTGGTACATGTGTATGTCAACGTGGGAGCGTCTATTTTTGCCCATGTAAATTACATGTGCGCAAATACAGTAGTACAACACTATGTTAATATATTCAGTATGTACAGTACAACTTACTGTACACAAGTATGCTGCTGTCACTATTGTATTAGGTTGATGTGTTTCTCATTTTAGAGCACTGTGACTTCATGCAACAGAAGCGTACTGTACATGACAAACATACAGTGCATGTGTACAGACACACATGCCTCTAAACACAATATACAAAAAAGGGACTACAGACTCAACTTAATGACTGGAGGACATGTGTCCATCGGAGTGCGGCTGACTGGCTGTACTGTGTCAAGGTAAAGCTGACATCTTTTGTGGAAGAGACAGGGATGGAGGGAGGAAGAAAAGGAAGAGCACTGGCCAAGAAGAACTGTCACCTCTCCCATTCCAGTGATGAACAAAGGGACAGCGGTGGGTTTGGCAGGTGCATGGCAGTGCCTGCTGCAGGCTTTCACTTCAGTTAGAAAGCTAGAGGGCAGTCCTTCTGGACCAGGTAATCCTGCAGCACTATGAGCACAGATAAAAGCCAACCAAAACGGGTCAGCAGATCCAGGGAAGACCAAAAACTGGCATGGGAGGACTAGGATGGCTTTAATGTGGCTGCTGTGCAGAGGAGCTGCCCCCAACAGTCAAGCTGCACGACCACAGAACATTCACCACAGATATAAAAACACCTTATTCTAACCTGACAGCTGAGGTTGAATGGTGGCATGGCTCCAGCCTGGTCCCCTGCTGCATACACAGAATTTTAATGGCGGTGAGACAAAGACCACAGGCACTGGGGCAGCTTTATAAACCAAGGCCCATTGTGCTGGCATGCACTCACACAGATGGTGTTCACATTCGACTTTTGTCTTGTATTTTTTCTTTTGCTTATTTTGCGCCTCACCTCCTTACCCCTATTCCAATCCAGCAGCAGGAAGCTCTCGGTTTAATCCTCAGGCACCTGTGTTTGAGCCTATGTAACCACATCCTATCTGGCACTATGTACAACTGTATCACTGATATGCAGTGATAAAGTGGAGCACCTGCCTGTTGAAACATTTGGAGGTCTACTCCTTTGCTATTCACTCGAACTTTCTCCATTTCTAAGTCAGCCTAGAGACACGTACTATACACATAAGTTCCCTGCTCCATCGACCACCTCCAGTCTACCTCATGGTGCATCATGGTGCATCATGTCATCCAGGAAATTTAGAGCTGTCATTTAGCCTCTCCAATTGGCCTTTAACGTGCGAGATGGGTCATGGTTAGCCTCTCTGATGGGGTTATGCAACAGTCACGGTAGTGACCTCAGCCTAGTAATAGGTTGGTGAAAGGGTGTGGGTTGTGGGGTTGGTGGAAGGGGGTTAAAAGCATCTTAAAAGCTGATGAAACCTCTCCCTTATAGATAGATACACACATGCATTGGGTTGACTTCATTTGTTGCTTTACAATTTGAAATTAGATGTTTTCCAACAC